TAGTATCACACAGGAGATAACTTATTTTAACTGTAATGCTTATTAGTCAACTTTAAACGTTTATACTTAAAAAACTATTATATAGAAAAAAAATGGCTTTTCTTGCACTTTTATTATTAAATTTTTTACGAAGTTTTACGCTGCGGAAAATAACATTATTAAAATTCAATAAATAAATTATGCTCTCTGAAAAATTTCGATTTTTTGTCGACATTACAGTTATATTGATATTTTTGAATTCAAAGCCTGCGGAAATAGATTTGGAGCAGAACGTGCTGACAATGTTCGATTGCAAATTGGCAACAAATTGTAGACAGAGTCTGTATTGTCAGCAGACTCTGTTCGGTTTTTGCTACCAATCTGCTGGCAAAACATGTCAGCAGACGTTGACAGCAGTTTGGCAGCAGTTTACTACCCTGATAGCAAAATGATAGCCAATTTGAAGAACCTAGCAGACCGATAATGATGAAATATCAGCCTTACGCAGTGGTTACGTTTAGCAGAGAATGCCGTTTTGCAACTATTGAAAAATTCTTGAATATGGTTGGTTCTTGCATTTGATTCCTATGGATCTAAATGTATAAATCAATCATACTGAAGAAAATGTCTTGCTCATTACCGCTCTCTGAAGAAGTGGATGTTAACTACGCAACAATATCCACTTTTTTATGTTTCCGACAAAAATAAATCGCTGAAATCGTTAAAATTTTTATAGATTTTAGTTATTTCAGAGATTACAACGATTTATTTCAAATCGATTAGTTTAAAGAAAACACAGTTGCTCATTTAAAAAATTATTCATTTTTCTCAGATATTCTTTAAAGCAACTGTGTATTTTCTTTTCAAAATTATTTATGATATAGCATCAATATATATAATATGTTATTGATCTTAATATAAATCTATATAACAAAATTTAAAAAATCTTTGAAGAAAAAACACTATTTTAGTTCTTATTCTTTTAAATGACAAATATGACTTTATTAGTTTTGAAATAGATTAATTTGTGTAAGAGATAATAACTTTGTAGATACATATAATATGAGATAATTATTTTATATTTTATACAAAAGTTTGCAATGAAACTTAAACATTTAAATATCATACATTTATTCTAATTAAATAAAAGACTTTATTACATATATATTAGACACTTCGACCGAGAATTTGCCCGATTGCATTCATCTCTTTGTGGGACATAGGTTCTAACATTAATCCAGGTACTGGTGGAGTCATTTCTAAATCACGTAATTCATTTACTTTTATCTTTAAGTCACTTCTTAACTTATTAATGGCAGTATCACATTCTCTCTGATCTGTAATATAATGTATAATATGCAATGTAATATATAAGACAAATAATATAGATTATAAAAATTACAGAATGTAAACTTTCATGGTCTGCCTGTTTGTTTGAAATTACCTTTTTCAAGTAATTCTTCAGCTGCTTTAGACGGCATCTTTAAAAGCAATGGTCCTACTGTTATCCACGTTTTTTCATGCGACTGTTTTTGAAGTGCTCTCATTCCAACGCGATCATCATTTCGTCTCTTGTCTAGAGCGACTATTTCCTCTCGATCAGTAAGAATTTCTCCAGCTTTGTTTTCAACTTTTTCTAAATGTTCCAATAATCTATGCTGCTCATTCGCCATCTGTAACAAATTAATAAACGTATTATTTTTTTATTTATATATATATGTATATTTTTATACTAAATGAAAAGTTTCTCATTCATGCTTTATCTTATAATGAAATAAATTTCATTATTTTATATATTTTTTTAAGACTTTTATTGATATAATGAGATAAAAATTGTACTAATAACATTTATATAGAAAAATAAAAAATATCTCTATTAAAGTATTAATATAAAATATTTTATAATAAAAAAAAAGATTGAGGATAAACTTACAAGTCTTAAATATATAAGAACAGTAAAAGTTATATTTGCATTACATTCAATCTTGAAATAACATCACATTTAAAATAGAATTTTATTTATATTTAATTTAAGATAATGCTATACGCAAAGCTCTTTCTTTCCTAGCCTCTCTGTGAAGTAGCCTTTCTCTGTCCCTTTTCTTCAAAGGTTTCTGCTTGGGCATTTTAGAACTGTTAATGGCAGTTGTATCACCTGACTTAAAATGAGTAATTTTATACTCATTTTTTTCTATTATTTGTCCCAATCCTTTGCGATCCATTTTTAAACATGTTTTGATAGGATATTTTATTCCTTTTCCAGAAGGACCAAGACCAGCTTCTTCGTCCCATCCTGTATTCAAAAGCATTCTATATCCTTTATTTTGTCTTGATATTCCATACATTATATATTTCAGTTTAGGCTTTGTGTTAAAGATGTGTAGAGTAGAATTTTCATGTCTCTGTGGTGTTGTTTCTTGAAAGGTCGCTTTACAGATTTCACAGTAAAACGCTGCATTCTGTTCGAGTTGTATTTCATCTTCCATAACATTGTCTTTATTATATTCCACTGATGGTTCTATAGGCAATGATCTTATTGGTAAAGTACTTGTATTATTTATATTTGGAATATTTGCAGTTAACTGATTGATACTTATGGAATCAGACTTCTTCTTCAACAATGCTACTATATTCAAATAATTTCTCTTTAAAGCCAATTGTGCTGCAGTAAGACCAGACTTATCCCTAGTTCTTTTGTTAGCCCCAAGATTTATTAAGAATTGTACTATCTCTAAATGACCGCAGTAAGAAGCAGACATTAATGGGGTCCAACCAAAATCGTCAGATGCATTCACATTTTCTGTCGTCATATGTTTCTGTAAAAACTTTAAATCCTTTTGCTCTACTGCTTTTAACAATGTATTGACTGTGACTTTTGCTAGAATATCGTCACAAAGTGAACTTTTTTTTGATTGTGTAGTAGAAGTTGAATTTGTGTCGGAGTTATCTTGGATTCTTGATCTTAAATTTTTTAATCTTGCTGGTAGAGTATTGCTACTACTAGTTTGCTGAACAATTTCTTCATAGGCAGCCTTTGCTTCGTTACCTTGGAAAGCCAACTGACGAACGCATCTCTCTGGAGATTTGTCCTGTACATTAGATGACTCTCTGACAAAGGTCTTCCACGGTATATCGATGTTATGTCGTATATGCATCCACTGTTGAAAAGACATGTTTTTTTTACGTCATACGTCACGTTGTCTTATACTACTGGCACACGGTCTCTTCTTTACTCGTTCTTTTGTTGAAATCTGTATAGAATTCTTACGAGATATATCCTATCGTTTCAATTCATATTTATTTTTTTAGGAGTCGCAAATAATATGTTCTTGTGGTTTAAAACGTCGTAAAATGTGAGTACAAACAATGAGCAACTCGTTGCTCTGCACCTCGTATTGTCACAATAAAATTTTGCAAAAAGACTTGGCAAAGACAAAATAAAGTCGTGTCTCAAAAGAGTATACAGATTTGACGCGTATTATTCATAGACGCTTGAAATGTTATGTTATCGAGATAAAACGTCGATAGCAAAATTTACCTTTGCTTCAACGCGTTATCACTGCAACTGTAATATCTCGCTTGAAATTGAACATGAATATGTCACGATAATTTGGTAATTCACTACTAAATATTAGGTTATGTACGTCAAAACGATCAGTGTGTACAATTATTTTTATTCCCTAGAGAAATCAATGCAGGGAATTCAACCCTCTGGTGATACTGGGCAACAATTTTTTAAGTGCGTTTTTTGAAAGCAAAAAATATGAAACAAGAAAGATTGCTAAATATTTTATAATTTTTATGAGATATCTTATTTTGATATATTTTGACGTAAGTCGCGATGTATTTTGCGAAAATATTTGTTTATAAATGAATCTATAAAATAATCTAACAATTATTCTGATTCTCTCTCTTTCTCTCTCTCTCTTGCACTTTTTGCATTTAGCATCTTCTTATCAGTAAAATTATTTATTTAAGTCAATAATATTTAAAAAAATTATTTTATCAAAATTCATGCTTTGAAATTATATTTTATTAAAAATTATTATCATTAACACAAATAAATAGAGATAATTTTATGTATTAGGCATTTATTTATGTATTAAACTTTTGTATTATTCATTTTTTGATGTCTTGAACGGTTTCTGTTACGAAAAAGTTAAGCTATAAAAATCATTTTACTTAGGAAGGTCATTTCACTCCTTTCTCGCATTGATATTCTGTAAATTCATCTGTTTGTGTAAAATAATCTTCATATATAAAAAGTTTCGTTAAAATCACAATTATACGTTTTGCGAGATTTGTAAAATAAATGTTGACGCGATAAAATATTGCGTTAGAAAATCTCAAAAGTTTCTGTAATGAGATAAATATATATTTGAGCATTGAAAAGTAAAAAAAGCGAATGTATTAAGTGCAAACAATACAAGTAACATTAATAGATCAATTTTTAAAGTGAGATTTGGCCACAAATTTTTCTATATGCTATTCTATATACTTTTATAGAAATCTCTGTGGATTCAAAATTTATCATCACGTTGAGAGAGGTTAGGTTAGATATTATTCCCGGCGGTCGCATGTGGTGTACACGTTTTCAGGTATACATGAAATTTTTTAACTTGTAAATGGAATATCATTACGATTAAATAAAAGCATGGCTTTGCCAACTTGGGCGAAGGTAGGAATTGGATGGTACGTGTGCACAGTATTTTGAGAAAAGTTCTCGCGTCTGATTTTTGCATATCACGTTAATGCTAACCTAAAAATTAAACTCCAGTGGTTATCACTGATAAAATAATTTCGAACATTTATAATTTTTAACATTTACATAGATTGAAGATTTCAGATTTTGCGCTTACTAGTTTGATAAAAAAAAGAATATTTTTATGTGATTTTTATTAAAAAGTGGGTGAATTATATTTTGTAGGTCTATAGCCTCTGTCCTAGGAATTTACGCATTTGTGCTGTCCAGGAAAAGTGTCAATGCTCAGAGATATGAGATTATGAAAGCTAGACAACGATTGCGTGACACCAATACTGTAGACTAATTTATTAAGAAGATTTTTAAGCAAAGAAAGCGCAGGTGTAGAGTACAAAGTTGGAAGAATGGCAGCATTACCACAATTGGACGAAGATAAAATGAAGCTGGTGCAGGATTTAGAAATAGAAATGATGTCAGATATGTATAATCGTATGACATCTGCATGCCACAGGAAGTGTATAGCACCAAAATATACTGAGGCTGAACTAGGCAAAGGAGAATCAATATGTCTAGACCGTTGCATCGCTAAATATTTAGATGTTCACGAACGTATTGGCAAGAAACTCACACAAATTTCAATGCAAGAAGCAAAAATTGCAGAACAACCAAAGACAAGTTAAATTTATTATCATTAGTTACATTTGATAAAAAAAGATATTGAACTTATAATCCATTATAAGTTATCTTTAATTTAGGTTCAGTTATAACATACAGTTTATTAGGATTTGTATCCTAAATTAAAATTAATAATAAACTGTAGTATCACTCTGTATTTTAATGATTCAAGTTGTGAATAAACTAAACGTTATAACATGTTATAAATTTTTATTTTTCCAATTTAATTCAAATATTTAAATATAACATTCTTTCCTTGATATATTAAATATTATCATCTTGTTGAATTTTACTAAAGTAGTTAATAGTTTGTTAAACTTATTTTAGATTAAAAAAATATAATAAAATATTTTTAAATATTACAAGATTTATCTGTGTCACAAAACTTTGGGATATGTATAATAGATCATTGTAGATGAACAATACATTTACAAATAGTTTATTTTTCAGAATTTCATACAACATAATTTGCAAATAATAATGCATAATACATTTTCTAAATTTTTATTAAATTTAAATAGCGAAAAAAATTTTTTACTATTACTCCTATTTCACACATTTAACGATTGATTATTCAAAATATAATTTTTTGTCCGAGATTTTTTATTAAAGTAATTTTTTTCCGTGTATACTTTGAGACACAAACTTTCGTGATATAGAAAATTTTTTTTGCCGTGACAATGTATATATAAAATAAGTATTAGCGTTAACAATACAACAAGAACACAATATATTAATTATTGTAAAAATAATGAATAAATTTATAGCAATGTGACAGAGTATGTACAAATTTAAATGTTGAAATCTGACCAAAAATGAAGACTTAATGGAAGGTTTCTTAAAATTCTGTTTGGCAAGGTAACATCGCCAATATTAAGAAATTAAGTAGTAAGGATATAAATGGCTTTTTCTCGTTCTTGTCTAAATTTGTATCACATAATATTTCGAAATATAATGTTCAACATTAACCAGCAGTTTTATCTTTCACTGGACGAATTGTTGCCAAAGCCAAAGTGTGCTGACCGCCGCCGCAAACTCTTACCACTGTCTTACCCTCTAATTGCTTTCCCTTAACTAATACTGGTTCTTCGACATCTTTTACATCTCCTGTCCCAAGATTTCCATTAGTTCCCATACCCCATGAATATAAATCACCTATTATAATAAAAATAGAATCTTATATGTTTTTAAGAATATAATGTATATAAGTTGAGATTTCATACTATATTAACACATCATATTACCAGATTCTGTGACGGCAAAAGATTCTCTACTTCCCGCACCTATGTCAATACATTTAGTGGAACTTAAAGCAGAAACTAATGTAAGTTCTTCCGCGTCTGAACAATTAGGTCCAAGACCAAGGCGACCATATTCTTTGCGACCCATCACAAAAACTTGTCCCGCATCATCCAAGGCTATGGTATGGTGTTCTCCACTACTAATATGTTTCCATACTTTGCCGCTAAAGGTTTTCGATATTTGTGGGTGAAAGTGGATGTCATTATCCTTCAAACCTAAAATATTTTCCAACAAATGCATAAAAATAACTTAAAATTGTGTTCAAAAAGTAAATTAGTTTTTAAGATATTTGTCTTTCTTTTTTTGAAAGAAACTTATTGGATCATACATGTGATACATAATTAACAGGAGATAAAAATCTTTAAGGATCAACTGGATGCTTAAATATTGAATTATTTATCAGTATCAGTGTATTTCTCGCTTTGATGCAGTAAACGACAAGATTCAAAATGTTGACATTAGCAATGAATTATAACATAGCGATAACCCACAAAATTTTTGGCACTTTCTTATTAAGATCTTTCCAAGATGCCTGTGAGAGCATCAAATTTTTACTAATGTAGTTTTGCCGGGTTTGCATTTTAAAAAAATCCGAAAAATCAATTCAGCGAGCAATTTTCGTAACAACATATGTAGTATCGAATTATTTAAGCATTTAAGATCTAGTTTCGACCGTTAAAGGCTTTTATTTCCTACTGGTCTGTTTTTCTCTTACCAATTTGGTGGAAATTATTTAAACCAAATACATATATATCTCCTTTTTCATGTTCCTTAGCAAAAGTGCAGAAATTCCCAGCCCATATATCGTCAAAATATAATTTCTTCCTGATTTTAAATTCAACTATGCCTGGAGTCAATAGCAGACCTATTCCTTGTCGTGTATTTCTACTGGCTGTACGTGCAGCTACTCGTCCTAATTGTCCTTGTTCACCGCGTCCACAAGTATATACACGTCCGTTTTCACTAAGTAACACTAAATGATCGTTACCTGATGCTATTTTGACAACTTTTACATCAGATAATACTTCTATAGGGAATCGCTCATTTCCTTTCAATGTTAATCCCATAGAACCGTGTGTATCCTAATTATAAATTAATTTGTCACATGAATCAGGTTTTCTCTTAATTAACACTGATTTATAAAAATAGTAATTTGTAATAAAATAATTTGTAAAAGTATATATTTTACTTATTTTTATATAATTTATATAAACATAATATAATTTATATAAATCTTTTTATAAATTATATTTGAAAAATTTAATAATATATAAAAGTAATAATTTACAAAAAAGGAATGATTATACAAATCAATTAATAAAAAAAGATATACCCTAAATGTGCCCCATGCAAATACTCGACCATCATCTAACAATGCAGCGGTATGCGAATCTCCAGCTGTCACCTGAATGGCTCTACCAGGTAATTCAACTATGCCCGGTATTGTCTCAGATCCTTCCTTGGTAGTGTCTCGTCCAAGCGCCCCTTCGTCGTTACATCCAAAAGTTAACACTTCTCCTGTGTTTCTCAGGCATACATTATGCATAGCACCAGCAGCAACAGTTATAACGTCTTGATAATCAGATATGGCTGCTGGACGCATTTTCTCAGTGACATCCTCTCCTAGACCAAGCTGTCCAAAATCGCCTTGTCCGAATACAAGCATAACACCACCAATTGAAAGCGATCGCAAGTCAGGTTTTACACTTAATCCTGTACAAGACAAATGAAAATTAAATTTACGTCAACAATTTCTTAATAGAAGGGCAATTTATATTAATTTGTCGAACATTTTTACTTTCAATTCCAATAGGAAAAAAATTGACAAATTTATTTTTATATTCTTACAAAACGTGTTCCCCTGGAATGATGGCATGGATTGTGACATTTAAATACAAGGGGAGAAAAAATGGTTTTGGAGTAAAATAAAAAATTGCTAGCTCCTACCTTGCTTTTTCTTGATCTGTTTTGGCGCCTTGTCCGTTTGCACGGGGTCCTCGGCCGTTCGTTTCGTAGTTTTCCGTGGCACTGCAACATTTTCAGGTTAGGTTCGAGAACGTTCTCATAAAACGCTTATCATGACTGTCACCCGCGTCCCGGCGGGTGCTTTTAACGTCAGTGTTTTTACGCGTACTTACTTTTGCTGTTAGTTTTCGCGGATTGCAAAGATATATTGTCGTTCGCTCTGTTGGCGCCAAAAGCCACAATGCTCTAAACCTTGCTATTGTTGCGCAACTCGTGAAGTACGTCGAGGAACAGACGGAACAGTACGCGCGGCCGGCGCGGCATCAAGATCAACGCCGCTTGTAAGCATAGCGCCAACAGTTGCTTCAATCGTTGCGAACGATTCTCATTGGTGGATTTGAATATGATTTGCGCAAGAGAACCGGCGGAACGCTAGGGAATACGGTGAAACATGCGGCGATCAACCTCTCCTGAGAGCTGATTGGTTGTCGTTCGACTGCTTTGCTTTTTGCAACTGTTTCACCGTACTGCTTGCGATTACCCGCCAAAACGTTCACCATACTTCTCGTTCACGAAAGCTCGCAACTCAACCGACGTTGATTAAAGTAAGTTTTATGCGTATAAATAATAAGGCCCATTTCGATTAACTTCGATGAACTTTAATCGACGATTAACTCGACTGGTAGAATTACTTCCCAAAATGATATCTGCGCAATATACAGTTTGTTCTTAACCTTCTTTTTATGTGTTGAATATAATTCTATTAATTAATTGGATAATTTTATTCGCGTGTTACTTAATAAATCAATGCTAATTAAGTTAATCGGAGTTGGTTGAAAAAAAATAGTCTTTAATGTTTCTAATCATAAATCCTATTAATAGAGTTTTGTAAACCTTGATATTTATAGGTGTAGTACGCCCTTAATTTGCTTTAAGCTGAATTGTAACGTTAATTTGCTCTAATTGTAGGGCCTAATGAACTAACTTCGGATCTGATTAGTTTGTTTAAAGCTTAATCAAGGGGATTATGGCTTAAGGCACAGCGCTGGAAATCTTTTTGCCGGAAAAAAAACAGTTTAGAGCTCAGACCAACGTGAGGCTAAGCTTATTACACCGCTATTAGAAATCTAGGCTAAAACGCATCTAAAAAAGTTTAGAGATAGACTTTGGCTTGATTTGTATATAAAGCATTTATTATTTACAATTCCTACTTCCACTTTGCTCCGTTATTTCTGTTATAGATGAAGAATAAAATTCGTATATTCTGATATTTACGAACTTTTATCAGAGTTGAATCGAACTTGACAATTGGCATTTATATGAACTTGCAAGTTCACTCGTAATAAACGTTATGGTCCTGGAGTAACGACTAATATTTTATAACTTTCCGCAGTAAATTAATAAACGAAGGCGGATGGAAATACTATAACGCTTCGTAAAACCTACAGCACGTTAAGAAACTTTAGAATTCTGCGGTTTAATATCTTAGACGAACTAATGTTTCCCAGTGAACAGATTAATAACTTAGGCCGGTATTCATAGTCGGTTCTTATTTTAAAATTGTCTTAGTAATATCTTAAGATGCTAGTGCAACGCTGTGATTGGATTATTACATCTTAAGGATACTATACTTAAAACTGTCTTAAATATAAAAACCGATTATCTGAATATTGGTCTTAATTTCGCGGATCGGTCTTAAATTATGTTATTATTATATATAATCTAAGACTGATCCGCATTGTTTGTATTATCTGTTTATCAATTTTAGATTTTTGGGATAATCGACGCCTTTTCTCTTTTTCTAAATTTACGATCATTAAGGCTCATTGCATTAATGTTACTTCGACTTTTAACGAAACTTAAAATTCTCATTTTTTAAAGTAGATAAAAAGAAAGGGACGGAGAATATTAAACCTCGTTTAAAATCAGTAATATATTTATGCAACATTCGAGATATTATTAATAAAAGAATTTCAAATACATAGAAAGTTTGAATGTAACGGTAATGTCTGAACATTTTGAAAAGGTCAAATGTCCATTCTCATGATAATATATCGCAAGTTTAATCGCCGTCGTTTTTCACGGTTCCGTTTTCGTTACTTTTATCATTTATTGCCTTTATTGTCGTCCATTTATCTCATTGATTTTGTTATTTGTATCCGTCATGTTCCCTAATTATGCCATTTATCATATTAATTTTAGAGCATACGCATCTTGGCGGCGCGGCGCGAATGAGTCGTGCGAGTGTCATGAATTTAGCGACAGTTAAGTAAATATGGCGGACGAGCGTGTAACGCGACGCGTGGATGGTTCTTCTTTCCATCTAAGATTCATGCGGAATTTACGTATCCGCATGTAATCGTTCGCCGTAATCGCGAGTTAAACGAGTACGTGAGTATGTATATATACGTATTTATTGATCCGGCTACTATTTTTGCTGAAAATACGATCTCTCAAGTAGCCTATTTTTCATTCGGCGTGAAGAATATCGCCGTGACGCGCCGCGTGAAGTTGCCGAATTGTGCAAGTTTTCACGCGCGTTACAAATGTTACAATACCTTGATGAGTGCGGTCTTTTTACGGACAGATACATAATTACGAATACGATTCGTTGTATATATTTAAAGAAATTTGACATCAGAAGACATGGACATAGTCAGGATATACAATATTTTATTTAGGGGAGAACTAAATTTTAGAGTTGAGACCCAGGAGGGGGAGGGTAATCAAGTGATATGGATTATTGAACTTGTTTTGTTGTATATTATTATTTTTAATTAGTTACTGGCAGATGAATCACAAAATCATATTATATATTATATTTACTTTACCAATTTATTTTATTTTTCTCTCCAAATTGTAAACCGATTCTCTTCAAATTAGAGAAATAAATTCATAATACTAGCGGTCTTAGATTTCTGAAAAATGTTTGTCTATAATTTTACCTTCAATTCTTTCTTCTTTCCTAAAATTAATTTCTTGTAAATTCTCATTAAGTATTGTCCGTAAATGTATAATTTCTTTCTCTAAAAATGTAATCCGATCAATGCAAAAAAATGTCTAATCGTTGCAAAATAAATCTGTTAGACGCAGCTATTATAATGCGTTACTATAATTTTAAAAAATTATCAGTAGCTTTGTAATTGTTGTACAATTCTTTAATATGATTAATATGTACATTTAGTTTTAATGAGGAGCTAAGGCAAAATCAATCATATTATTGTATTAGAAGAATTCTACAACAATTGCAAAACTTGATTTTTCTGCTGAATGTAGCCATTGTTTGATTGTTTGATAAATATAACTTTCTCATCGATAATAATTCGATTTGATGCTTGTTTCAGGTCTTTTGGTAACGTCGAAAATGTCCACAGAGAATCAGGAAATTAATCGAGAGTTCTCGGAAAATTTGTTATCTTTCGACAAAACTGTGCGCGCGGTCGCGAATCGCAATTCGAATTAACGCACAGTGGAGGATGACCGCGGGAGTTCGTGATACCCCTGTGGGGGGAGGACGTGCGGTAGGGTGCAGAGGGTGCCGGCCGGTTATCAGAGGGGTCGGATACGCGGAAGCGCGCCAGTCGACGGCGAGACTTCGCCCGCGCAGCTTCCCCGTTTGTTTCTACCTCGCCATCAATCCGACTGGTCCCCGTTCATCGTCCGCGTGTAATTTTCATCACGATCAACGCGTGGAATTGAGTAACGGCCAATTATTCAACTTCTCGCGCGAACACCTCCGTGGAATATTAGCAAGTGGAAGAGGGCTCCACGTGACAATTGCCGGCAGAACACGGGACCGTCGTCGATCAAGAGTGACAACGACGTCGTCAGATCTTTGCCTGAAGAAACAGGATCGTTTGATGTAGAGCGACGAGGACGATGACGAGGGCACGCCGATTTTTACTGCTGCTGCTGGTAGGGGGTGAGTAACTTTTCACGTGCAGTTTTATCTGGAGAACGTGCGCAAGCCTCGGTGTCGCGTGATCACCAAGAAGTGATGGCTATTGTTTCAATATTTAATGCGTAACGAGTTATGTAAGAAGCAATTGAATAAGTTTTATCATTACATTACTGTTACGAAAGACTTGTAATTCTTTTCGTACAAGATTTATTTCACTGTGTGTAAACAAAATTAATAACGATTTAACTAGAAAAATGTATAGTTGATGAGATTGGTGTTACATTAACCATTATCGTTGAAAATTAGTAAAAGAAGTGATTGAAAAATTAAATCTATATATCTAAATTTGGCATACCAATTCAGCAATGAATAATAATAAATTAAGAAATCGTTAAATAATGCATATTACGCGATGTACAAGACTGATATTTATAGTCCGTTTATATTTTAAGACCGTCTGAAGTGCGTTTTAAGAGGCTAATATGGCTCTGTGATTGGCTTATGACTTCTTAAGATTGTACTTAAGATGGCAATAAATATAAGAACTGATTACAAAGCAGTCTACGCGACATCAAAAAACGACATTTAAATTTGCAAACGAAATATTAAGTCTCATTCTTTTCTCCGTGAAAACTTAAGGTTGATTTTATTGGGTTGGAACAAAAGTTCGTAGTGCTAAATTTCAAACAGCTGAAATTTCATTAAAAGAAAAAAGGGTTTTTGAACTTAAAATCTCTGCTTTTGAAAAATCCCTTTGTCTTTTGTTTCTGTGAATTGAGTTATTTTTATAATATATAGAGAACTACGGAGCTAGACACAAAATGGAAAATATTCTTCTTACTTCGTAGGGCTGTCATGTGCCTTAAGAAAAAAACTTTTGAAAATTTTCGACTTTTCAACGTAAAAGCTTAGTTTTTCCTATAAAATCATTTTTTAAAATGTTCTTAAGATTTTTTGTTACTAAGTTGACGCAGATTGAATAAAAGGAGCATATTGACTTTGATTTATAACTCCTTTTAAAATCATCGTTCACAATTGAAAAGGAATTCTTAAAGCCAAAACTTTTTTAGCTCTATCGAATATTATTGCTAAATTTTTTTAAACATGTAGATATAATAGGTACAAATAAAATAGCGCTACAAATTTTTGCTCCAAGTCAATATATCAGATAAAAGCTGCTAACATGCTTTATAAAACATTCTGGTGAGTTACATAATTGGCAAATCAATCTTATTAGGTTTTATGAAATAAATTGATCCCGATTACAATCTCTTCTCTACTTCCTGTATTTACTTGTATCGCCATGACGATGACTTCTCGGCGGCCGTGTGCGACTTGTTGAGCCACCACCTCTTGGTGGAAAGGAAACGAGGCGTGCGCCGAATTCACACGAG